CTCTTCACAACATCACCAACTTTGTAGGGGTCACTTTTAACACAATTAAGTATATTAGAGTAATGTTGCCTCCACAACTCAGCTATGTTATCGGCTCCAGATACTCCCTCTATGGTACACGGTAATGACGTACTGGCCCTGTTCAGAGCTCTCACCTCCTTCCAGAAGCCAGTCACATCATTATGAAGCAGCTTTTCAGCCATAGAGTCCGCTCTCAATGTTTCTGTGTGTTTGTTGACATAACGAACTGCATATTTATATCTAGCATTTGTACGCTTTTTGAGATCCAGGACAGGCCCCTCTCTGGGCCTACCTGCCTGGACCCAGGCCCCAAAAGCATTCTTGGCTTCAGCGTATTGATCAGCCACATGTTTATTCCACCCTGGCTTGACGTTGTGTCTCTTCCTAGAGTAGGTACAGCACGGTCTACTGGCCTCCCATACAGCTCCCACAATACAATCATACATGTTACAGAGGTCTTCACGGTGAGAGTTTTCATTACAACCCACATCAACACACAGAGTTGCCACTTTGGGTAGATATACATCACTCAATAGGACATCAGTTCTCCCATAGTACAATAGCCTATCCTCATTTGTGAGCTTGGACCAATCCACTTTAGTGTTACAGGCATTTTTAACCTCCTGAGACATCTCAGGGAGACTATCACAATCTAGTGACATTATAAAAGGAATGTGATCTGACATTGATGCCTCATACACAATCTCGATTGATCTTACAGTGTCATGGGCATTAGCAGTGCTTATGCAATGGTCAATGCCATGAAGTTGTATGCCAGGCCTCGCTTATATATGAATAGCTATCTGTAGGCAGAAGTATTTGGCTTGATAATATAAGATTGTTATCATCACAAAACTGTAGCATATGCTTAGCAAACAAGGACCTTTTGTCTGATATGTCAGCATTCATATCACCCACTACAAAAACACTGGTGGAATGATTATCAGCAATAAAAGAATGTATAAAAGCAAGTCTGTTCAGGTATTCATCTTCATTATGCTGTGACTCATATGGTGTATATACATTGAGAATGCTAAACTCCTTGTTATTCATTTTGATCTGTACAGCAATACACCAGTCAACTTCAAGCCTGATGACATTAATGACAGTGTCCAGCTTTTTGTGCCACAGGATAGCCACCATCCCTGCTATCCTTCCTCTCACTATTCCCAGAGATAGGTCCGTAGTGGACTCACCAGCCCCGTGAAAATTGTCATTAAGAGAGTTCAACTTTCCCAAGTCCTGCTTTGGTAAGAAAGTTTCTTGCAAGCATAAAATGTCACATTTTTGTAGCAAGTTGTCCACCACTACACGTCGGATCCTATCAGCAGCGCTGTTGCCCAGGCGCAGCCCGCGACAGTTAAATGATCCAACCCGCATAACGTTTAGCTAAGCAGCTCAGCCGTAGCCCCATTCAGTACCCTCGCACCAGCAAAAGGTCTAGCTCTGCTAGCCCCTATCACCTCCGCTTTACGTGGTTCATAGTATCTTCTCACAACTGAGCCTTCAGGCCAGAGTTCTGGGTTAAACATCTCCGCAACTTCATTGCACTCAGCACACACTTTAAACGAGCATTTTGATCATTCTATAATACGCCATTTAAGCCCGGGGAGAAATGCTAACGCTAACGCTACATTAGCATCGGCGATCTTTTCTACTTCATGCTATCTGCACAAATGGTTGACATTAAACATTAAAAATATCAGGCAGTTCAGAGAGAATCAAAGGAAGGCAGGCAGGCAGGCAGCTTTGCATGACATTCTTCCGGACGCGTTTCATTGTGGTGATAGTGAGGGTAGGCAATCCCTTGTTTAGCAAGACAGTAGTGACGGCCATCTTGGTGACGTGTGTTGGTGTGCAAGACCAGAGATGTCCCAGCTAGCGGGGAACGTTCTCACAACTTTGGCTAACGTTACCTATTGGTTCTAATAAGGTTTTAAAGAAACGTTTTAATCTGATGTTCAAAGAACCTTTTTAGGATGTTTATTTTTTCAAATAATGTTCCTATAAGGTTTAAGGTTAACTAAGACATAACGTTTTAACTGCAACATTCAGAGGATGTTTTCAGGATGTTATTGAGGCCTGAGATGACAGAAAGTGTATTTATAAAACGTTCCTTTTAATGTGATATGTTAAAAAAGGTGGAACGTTTTGCCTGCAACATTCTAAGGATGTGTTTTGGACGTTGTGGGTAACACATTAAAGATGTTCTTTATAAAACGTTCCCTCAATGTTACATGATAACAAATGAAGGACATTTTCAATGCAACATTCTGAAAATGTTTTCAGGATGTTATTGAGGCCTGAGATGACAGAAGGGTTTTATAAAATGTTCCTTTAATGTTACATGATAACAAATGAAGAACATTCTCCAAGCAACATTCTGCAAATGTTTTGAGGATGTTATTGAGGCCTGAGATGACAGAAAGGGTTTTATAAAATGTGCCTTCAATGTGATATGTTAACAAAGGTGGAACGTTTGGCCTGCAACATTCTAAGGATGTGTTTTGGACATTGTTGGGGTAACACATTAAAGATGTTCTTTATAAAACGGTCCCTCAATGTTACATGATAACAAATGAAGAACATTTTGAAAGCAACATTTGGATAATGTTTTCAGGAGGTTATTATTTTTTTTATAAAATGTTCCTGTGATGCGAAATATTAACACTGTCATGATCAACGTCAGATTTATTTGTAGTGCGCTTTAAAAAACAAACTTGCTGCATTTGTTTGAAAAGGATGTTTAAAAGAAATCTGATGTCACCACATTTTCGTTTTTATAAAAAAACAAGCACGTAATTCATGATATTGCACGTTTGCGTAGGCATGTCTGAGTTCCCAGCTAGACATTGTTGGTTCTAAAAACATTCTGAGAATGTTACCATTCATTGTTCTAGGAATGGTTTCATCGAAAAGTTTTATTTTGGTTCCTAGAATGTACTTCTGAAAGGTAGGATAACGTTCTCTAAAAACATTCTTAAAATGTTTGGTGATAACATTGTTCGAACATTATACCCCAAGTGTTTTTGTTGTTTATGCACATATCTCTATTCATATGGATCGAATAACACTGAGAAAACCAAAGACAGACATTTAGAAGAATGGACCGACTATTACTGCCCGTCCCTGAAACCCCTGTTAGTGAGTTAGTGCCCCTTCCCCCACCTGCCTGCTGGTCTGCTCTACACGGCTGGGAGCAATCTCCAATCAACCACACCTGCAACCTGCTCATTAGCCACACTATGAAAAGCCTGCAGCCTGCACTCATTCCCTGCCGGATTGTTGCCGTGAACGGTTTGTTGCGTGCCGCTCTAGCTTTTTGCCAGCATATTCTTTGACAACTTTGCCTGCTTTTGCCTCACACTCATTTTTGTGTCTCTCCCAGGAGGAATCCAAGGCCTTCCACACTCCCAAGACCAGCCAGGCCTCTCCACCCTGGAACAACTGTTTCTCACTGCCGCCATAACCAACCTCCACTCCCAGCTCCCCTTTTCTAATAAACAAATGTTACTTTCACCAGCTGATTCCGAGTCATCCTTTTACATGTGTTAATAGTCAAATTCCAATTGTTAAGTAAACCATCAAAATCATCCTAATGACCACAGTGGTCAGTCCACTTACCCAGGAATTTTGAGTTGAACAATTACAGGAATATTATGTCTTTATGTTCTAATAATGTAAACATATTTTAGTAAATTGTTACCACAGAACATTTGCATACTTTGTTTAACATAAACCATGTTATCCTTCTCTAAAATAATAACATTCTGGCAACATAACAAATCTAACTTGCAGCTGAAAATGTTTTAAGAACAGTAGGGCATAATGTTCTAACAATGTTAGCAAAAACATTTTAAGAATGTTTTTAGAGAACGTTATCCTACCTTTCAGAAGAACATTCTAGAAACCAAAATAAAACCTCCCGCTGAAAACGTTTTAATTACAGTAGGGCATAACGTTCTAACAATGTTATCAAAAACATTTGAAGAAGGTTATCACCAAACATTTTAAGAATGTTTTTAGAGAACGTTATCCTACCTTTCAGAAGAACGTTCAGAGGGAACCAAACAAAAACTTCCCGCTGAAAACCTTCCTAGAACAATGACTGTAACATTCTCAGAATGTTTAGAACCAAACATTTCCAGCTGGGTTCATTGTTCATAGTTCATTGACCGTTTCACACAAAAAAATGTGTTACTTCACAGTTTTACGACACATTTTATTTTTTTTTACTGGCAAAATTATCTTTTAAATTGACAAACATCATATGTGTAATTCGTGGCACAATTCAAACTGGATCGAAAGATAATCTTTCTCTCTCCATTGACTTAAGGTCCCATGGAGGTCCACCGGAAGGGGAGGGACTTCGCCACTCTATAGATAATATGGCCATCTGAGTGTGTGTGGTACTGTTTGTGGTTTGTTTTTAACTGTGTAATAATGTTAATTATTCAAAATGTTAGAGTTCCTTATTTTTAAACTGAAACTTGTACTACTGTTAAAAAATAAATAAAAACAAACCTGGAATTATGCATTTGGGACTTTGTTTTGCTTTTTCTTGTTGTACGGAACCCGTACCAAACCGTGAGCCCCAAACCGTGAGCCCCAAACCGAGGTACATACCGAACCGTGAATTATGTGAACCATTACACCCCTAATATATATATATATATATATATATATATATATATATAATATAATATATAATTCATAATAATTCCATTAAAAGTAAAAGTTCTCCTAAGTATTCATATTATTTTTACATTCAAACATCAACATTATTCAAAGTATCATATTATCACTTTTGCAGAGGATGGAACAAGGGATTGAGAAAAGACAAAGAGAAAAACAAATTACTGAATAGATGGATGGACACAAGAAAAAAGAAGCACAAAGGAAAGTAGGACAGTAAGAACTTAAAATGTAATAGTTGATCAAACTAAAACTCCAATGGAAATAAAATATCAGTACTGTACCTTTTAAATTGTACTTGAACCCAGTAGTTGAGTAAATGTTACAAGATACATTTTCAATCAGATGTTTCGAACCAGAGCAAGTTTCTGAGAATAAAACATACACAATATCTCAGACAAGTCGAGCAAAACAAGGTTTAGTATATCTGCTTCAGCCGGCAGTCACAGCGCTCAACATTCAAAGAGCTGAGATCACATCTGTCACCACGGAGCCATCCTACTTCCTCATTAGATAAAACAGTGGGGCCACATACCAGCATCAAAACCACTGCCAGTTAACCTTATCACGTCTTTCAGTCTGCTCAGTGTGAGTGTGAGTGTGAGTGTGAGTGTGAGTGTGAGTGTGTGTGTGTGTGTGTGTGTGTGTGTGTGTGTGTGTGTGTGTGTGTGTGTGTGTGTGTGTGTGTGTGTGTGTGTGTGTGTGTGTGTGTGTGTGTGTGTGTGTGTGTGTGTGTGTGTGTGTGGTGTGTGTGTGTGTGTGTGTGTGTGTGTGTGTGTGTGTGTGTGTGCAGGGCAGGGTGTGATTGTGGCTCACATCAAACTGAGCTTTCAGTCAGTTCAGACATCAGTAGGACTTCACTGTCCATCAGAAGTCGCGTGAGCCATGGTTAGCTAAAAGGGATGTTGTCCTTATTTTACTTTATTTTATTGTTTCACACTGTGCACTTGGTCCACCCTGTCACCAGAAATGTGGTTTGTTCTATAATAATACAGATGTTTATCACGCAGAACTTGTATGCATTGGAAACAGGCACGCAACTCTTTGTCGGTGTTGTTGCTTGTGTTGTTTGTGAAGATGTGAGTGAGAACATGTGTAGGAGGTTCTGTTACTCTATTAAGTCAGTTAGCATCAGCTGACATGCTCCTCAGTAGTCAAATATGTATCCTGTTTCTGACACAGTTGAACAGAAGCAGGACGCTCAATTACAGTCAATTTGGACTATGTTACACATTCATGCAAAGTGTGTTGACGCACACTGCTTTGTATTGTTACGAAGTCAAATAGCTTTGGGTATCCAGCAACAGGCACATCAAACCATCCCTTTGACGAAATTAGGGTGTTTTTCTGCTCTATATTGATGTTTCTGCAACTCAGTTCAGGGAGCCACTGTAAAAATGCGAAGAGCGGAAAAAGCAGCAAAACACGGCAGTGGCTCAGTCAGTAGGGGCTTGGACTGTGAGCCGTAGGGTCGCCGGTTCGAATCCCTGACCAGACTTAAATATGGAGTATGGACTGCTACTTGGAGAGGTCCTAGTTCACCTCCTGAGCCCTACTGTGGTGCCCTTGAGCAATGCCTCGAACCCCCCCCCCAATTATTATTCTAAATGTTTGCTTGTGAAATTGCTGATCTACCTATAAGACGTTTATATTGGGCAAAAAAGTGAATTTTACAAGTGTTTTCACTGAGTCTCATGACAGTGGAATTTCATCTAAAGGCATTTTACACAACTCTGTAGCTCTTTTTAACGTTGACCACTGTCCTCTTGGCAACCTTGCCATCATTTATGTATCCCTGTACAGTCTTGTATGTGTTAAAGAGATTGGTTAACAAAAAGGTTTCGTGTTGCCCTCGGAAAAAGGTTTGTATTAAAGTACATAGAGTCCAGTTATGCTCGGACATACCGTTACTAGAATTTTAAGGTGGAAAGCAGTTCAAGAGGTGCCTTAGTGATAAAAATTAGGAATGTGGGTGTATACAGTGTGTATGTAAAATGGGGGCCTATATCAACCTGTTCTGTACCGTCCGGCTCAGCAGCATCTGATCTGCTGCCAGAGGAGATTAGGTCATGGCAGCTATGCAGACGTCTTGCTGGTTGTCAGCAAACACCATTTACCAGTGTGTGTTCGGATGGCAAACGGCTTTCCTTTTTGATAAAGCTTATAGTTAGGGCTGGCTCAGCCTTGCATTGAACCTTGAACTATGCTATAGGCTTAGACTGTCAGGGGACTTTCATCTTTCACTTCCCACTTCTATTTAACTGTATGCACTTATGTCCAAAAAATGCACTCTCAGCATCCGGGGAATCATCAGGAGTTTTTGTGTCTCATCTGACAGGTTGACTCGATTAAAGGTTACGTCTGGACCTTGAGTCGTGGCCGTGCCTGTTGTCGCAACACCTACGTTAATATTTTTTGACGGCTTATGGAAGATCTTCGGCATCCTCCTGGATCGACCCTTAATTATTTTCTTTCACGTTATCATGTTTGAGATTTGGATCATCCATATTGTTATTTTAAGATCTTTTTAATCTATACATGACATTTATTGCACGTCTGTCTGTCCTGGAAGAGGCATCCTCCTCGGTAGCTCTCCCAGAGGTTTTTCGTTGACCACCACGAGGGTCTAAGGACAGATGGTGTTGCATGCTTAACAAACTATAAAGACTCGTTAATAATAATAGAGACACATTTGTGATATGGAAGATTGGACTATACAAACAACACTGATTGATTGATTGACCTACAATACTAAGATATATGTTTTCACTTACAATATCTCGACTACCTGCGTATAGCAACTTGACCTCTGTTGACCAAACCCTCCAGAACAACCAAGCCATGAAAACCATTACGTGAGATTAACACACAAGACAAAGAGTCAATGTTGCTTTTTTTTATGTAGAGCCAGTTTTAGTTGCTTTTTAAATTACTGGGTAACATACTGATTCATATCATATAAACATACCATGTGTTTTTATATGTAAAAAGTAACGAGTCCCAATTAGTGTTAAAAATGTTTAGTGGAGTAAAAGTATTTGTTTGATAAGTAAAGTACAAGTATGTCAAAATAGTACTTAAAGGTGGGGTAGGTAATTCACTTCAGAAACACTTTTAGTTATATTCCATGGAATGCTCTTAACATCCCGATAGCAATGAATACATTAAATGCTTTGACAATAAATACATAAAAAAATGTCATCTGTGGAAGCTGTGGCGCTGTAAAAAGCACGACCAATTATTTTAGCCGCTAAAATGGCCTACCTGCCTGTCAGCCTTCCATCTCATGCACACACTTATCTCGTGCCCTCATTGGTCATGTGCGCGTTCGTGTGGGTTGGAGGAGGGGCTCTGTAAGGAAGTCTGAAGGAAGGGGCAGATTTTTTTCGGCTGCGTACTTTCAAATTCTAGCTCACTCGAGCTGGTTTCTCCATTCTTACCTACCCTACCTTTAAGTACAGTACTTAAGTAAATGTTCTTAGTTACATTCTCCACTGCTAATATTAAATGGTTGCTATTTGTAAATTAATGTAAGTATCAGTCAGATCACTTCTTAAGTAATGCCTGCTTGTATGTCCAATTAGTACCAATTAGTCGACTTAATGATCATCATAAAAGGGTGTCAGCAGGAATACATAAAAACCTCTGGCCCGATTTAAATGAAACTTGGTGGAAGGTTGAAGCATGTGCCAAGAAATAACCCATCCAAACTCTAGGGGCGGATAAACAAAATATGTTATTGCGTAACATTGTGAGATAGGGCATGCTCTTGGCAGAGGTCTGCGATCTTCAAGTACCCTTCTAGTTTATTTGACTTTTGACTGTTTAGATTTTTAATTTTGCAGTGATTAATTTGCTTTGGCACAGAAACAATATGAAGTCCCAACCTTTTTGAGTGGAATATCACATTTAGAATACGTACAAATTAACAGATGGATTACTGGCTAAGAGCCCGGCCGGGCACAGCCCGAAAAGGCCACGTGAGCAACACCTCCGTTTGGAGCGTGAGATGGGCAGGAGAATCGGAGCAGCGGGAGCGATACTGCAGTCGCTTTACCGCACCGTTGTGACGAAAAGAGAGCTGAGCCAGAAAGCAAAGCTCTCTGTCTTCCGGGCCATTTTCGTTCCTACCCTCACCTATAGTCATGAAGGATGGGCCATGACCGAAATAACGAGATTGCGGATACAAGCGGCCGAGATGGGTTTTCTCCGCAGGGTGGCTGGTGTCTCCCTTAGGGATAAGGTGAGAAGTTCAGTCATCCGGGAGGGACTCGGAGTTGAACCGCTCCTCCTTCGCGTCGAAAGGAGCCAGTTGAGGTGGTTCGGGCACCTAGTAAGGATTCCACCTGGGCGCCTCCCTAGGGAGGTGTTCCAGGCACGTCCAGCTGGGAGGAGACTGAGGGGTAGACCTAGGACCAGGTGGAGGGATTATATCTCTTCGCTGGCCTGGGAGCGCCTTGGGATCCCCCAGTCAGAGCTGGTTGATGTGGTCAGCAGTGGCGGATTTAGGATTGTAGGAGATCCGGGGCTTAGCCCAGGAGTTGTTGTTGGGGGGGGGGGGGGGTAAAGTGCTATTCTTTACAAGTGGGGGGTGGACCAAACGTCCTTTAGGGGGGTCTTCGCCTCCTCTAGGGCGCTCCGGGGGCATGCTCCCCCGGGAAGATTTTTTTTTTTAAATATTGAAGTTAAAAGCATCAATCTGGTGCATGTTGAGAGCAACATTAACCCTACCTTAATAATACCTTAAAGCGGACAAAAAGCACTGGAGAACACTTATTCATTAACACCCTTTAATGAAGCAAACTAATGCCTTTGTCACGATCTGTCTGTGTTTTGTTTTGTCTTGTCTTTTTCTGTCTTTGGTTTCCTGTTTTATTTTGAAAAGTGTCACCCCCTGTCTTGCCTGTTGCTTTCAGTCTTTGTTCCCTCCTGTCTGATTACCCGATTGTGTTCACCTTGTGCCCCTGTGTTTTCTCCTCCCTCCTCAGTTGTCTCTTGTTTCTTTGATTAGTCTTGTGTGTATTTAAGTTCTGTTTTTTCTGTCTGTCATTGTTAGTTCCTTGTTTGTCTATGACTGTGTTCACGGGTTAGTGTTCTGTTTGTTCCTTGAAACCTTGAAATAAAGGTATTTTCTGTTTATTCTGCATTTGGTCCCTGACAGAAGGAACTAACCAAAGATGGGCCCAGCAGATCCATTTGAGGTGGATTTACTTAATTTGACCTTTTCATTGGCTTGCTGCTATGGTAGGTGGAGGGGAGCGTCCAGTGTTCAGCAGAAAGAGGCTGCTCTGGCAGAGGCGCACCAGGTGGCAACAGAGGAGCCATGTTTAGTGAAGTTCTTACCTGACTGGATTTCGGACTTCCTCTCGACATGTGATTCCCGGCCTGCTAGCCCCAGGCATGCTAGCCCCCTGCCTCCCAATTCCCTACCTGACACCATACGTCTCGGTTTGTTCTGTCTGGAGTCAGCCCCTGCTTCTTCACCATTTCCTCCTCCTGTCCAGGATCCGTTCTCGGGTACTCGTCTGGCTTTTGGAGGTCCACGGAGCCTCCAAAAGGCTCCTAAGAGAAGGAGTCGCAAGTCCAGGCTAGCAACCCGAGCCCCAGAAGCCATGCTTTGGGCTCCAGTACAG